GGCGGTCGACCGCGACAGGTTCTAGGGCCTATCCAGGTCTCTGTCCTTCACGCAGTCGACCGTCGCTAGGGCGCGGTCGACCGTGAGCCGAAATCCCAGACTGTGTAGTTCTACACAGTTAATGATCATGACGATAAATTGTTATATAAACTTATTTTTAAACATGTGAAACTTTCATAAAATAATTCAAAAGAAGTTAAATACTTCTAGAAACAATATCAACATGTACCACATGATTATTTGCATAAAATTTATTTTCAAAACCCTAATTTATGCATAAGAATTTGAAACAAGAACAAAACATATTTCTTCACTTTAAACAACGTTTTAAATCATTCCCAGATCTTGAATACTTTTGTAAATTTTGTTCTCAAACTTTTTAACATGGAAAGACCTAGTTTTTATACATATAATACAAAAGAATTGACTTTTATTCATAAACTAGTCAATTTGGCTCTAATAAACATGTTAACACCCTTTAAAAATATTTTAAAAACTAGGAGGGGGGTTAGCAGAGATGAACTCGCCTGAAACTTGTGGAAAAACGTTTTAGGATGCCAAGCCAAAGCAGATCTCCAATCCAAAAGCAAAAATCACCCGAAAAATCCACTTGAAAGCCTCCAATATTCTCTAAGAATCAAATTAGGGTTTATGGGGGTTTGGTGGCGGTTAGGGTTCTTAGAAAACTGAGAAAAATCGTGAAAGTTTAATATATAAACCAGGGAAAATGAATATGGGCTTTAGAAAACCAAAACCAACTCAAAATAGGAATCTGACTTCTGCAGGTTTCGCGGTCGACGGTGGCGATCGATCGGACTGCAATTGATCGCGACGGTCGACCGGACTGGAATTTTTCAGTTACACATATTTGACCATTGTGCATGTTTCGACTCTTTTCTTTCTCATGAATAAACTTGTTTATACTCAAAACATATGGTATCATACTCATACCCCATTTAAGTATATTTATCAAAATAAATATCCATAAATCATAATTAATCTCATATTAATTATATTAACATAAATTTTCGGGGTTTTAAAGATTTATACAACTGGGTTTGAGCGATTTAGTCGAAGTTGGATGTTTCTTCATGGTTTAGACCAAAGATCAGCCATTTTCTCAAAAGAGAAAAAGAGGCCCCATGGTGGATGCCAAATTGTTGATATCAGGAAGTTAATATGAGGTTTAGAAGAGGTAAATATGATTTCGAGGTCCTTTAATCTCCTTCGACGGCTGATTGTTTTGAAGGAGATGTTAAACTGCAACTCCTTGCACAAAATAATAGAGGTTAAAGGCTCTGGAGGTTATTTCCTCCTGAGTGCCCTTCGAGTGCTAGTTAATGACTGGTCTGATAATTTGAAAAGAAAAGTAGAGTATAGTATTTAAGGTTTTGTGTGTAAAAATGCCTACCTGAGTTAGTGGAGATTATTCCTATTTGTAGAGGATTCATGGGGGTACATTAGTAATTTGGCCAGGTTAGTGTAGCCAGTCAGGTAGACCAAATTTTACACGTGTCAGCGATAATACGAGTGAGCGAGCCAACTCTGTAATCAATGTGATAGCCATAGAGCGGATGAGGTATTGACATGGTCCAAGGAGTCTTGATGACTCTGGCTTGGGAGGCCATAATGATCCTAACAGTAAATTAATTGTGATGGCGATGGGGCAGCGAAGTTCGGGCGCTGACTGACCATGCATTAAATGTGATTCAATGTTGGCAAAGTTGACATGTTGTCCCGCAATTCAAGACGCTATGTATTAAGTCTGAGTATGGGATGCCTTTCGTCTCGGATTTAGACCTTTTGAGCAGATCGCGGGTCGAAGACACCATTCATCTCGGACTTAGGTCGCAAGGCGGGTCGGCTGACTCCGCACCCAGGTCATGCTTTCAAATGTGTGGGACTCGGCCAATCAATTATAACACGTGGTAGATCATTGAGAGTTTATTAGACTTGGTAATTTTCAGGGGATAACAGCTAATCTCCAGACTCTCTCTCATAGATGATCTATGATTTCCTCCTTAATTTTTGTGTTTCCTGGTGCTCTAGAACTGAGAGAATAACCAGTTTTATAGAGTTATTTTGGAATACAAAAAAAAATCAGCCTCAACAAACCCCAACCTATTACGATTTGACGAGAATTCAAAAACATTCAACTTGTCGAGCACCCGAGCTGATAAACAATTTGTGGTATCGCTCGTGATAATGTGACTTGAGTGGAAAATCGGTTTGCTGTAAGCTCGCGGTGTTGACACCGGGGCGCTAAAACAGTCTGCGATGGCATTTATGCTACTAGTTGTGATGGCACTTATGCAACTAGTTGTGATGGCACATGCTAGTTGACCCCACAAGATCCTAGACATACTTTAACAAATCTCCTCTTTAGACTAAATCAATGGTATTTGCTGAAGGACAAAATTTTAAAACAAATCCTTTTTTGAAACTTATTTTTAAAAAACGATTTGTTTCAATTTTAATTATCAAAACCGACCTAGTTTCAGTGTCAGAGCTAAAACTAGGTCGGTTTTAGAGAAAAAAGTTCCCAAACTTCACGGGAGTTGAACTCCCGTGAAGTTTTTACATAACAAAACTTCACGTTACTTGAAGTCCCGTGAAGTTTTGTTATGCAAAAAAACTTGACGGGAGTTCAATTCCCGTGAAGTTTGGAAACTTTTTTCGCCAAAACCGACCCAGTTTCAGCATCAGGGCTGAAACTGGGTCGGTTTTGGTAATTAAAGTTGAAACAGGTCGTTTTGGGGAATATTTTTGTAAATGGCTGGTTTTAAAAATTTGTCCATTTGCTGAAATTTAAATGTTGTCATTAGCATGCATGGATAATGTTAATCATGCTACATATTCTTTACAAATTTTGTACTTTCACTAATAATAAATATGTGAGGCCTTTCTTGTAAGGAAATGCTAGAGACACACCCTTAAACCATACTTTCCACCACACTCCTCTCTCACTACAGTGCATTGGGGCCCATATGAGAATTTTTTTAAAATTCTCGTGTGGGCTCTAATATACTGTAGCAAGAAAGGAGTATGATTAGGAATGTGGTTTAGGGTATGACTGTAACGCCTCTCTTTCTTGTAAATAAAACATGTGAGTCTAGGATCCCGCTGCCTATTTGTGATAGTACAAATAGTATAAAATTGATAGTGCGGTTGTCGTTTGCTTTTAGCCATTTCAAAGTAAGGACACGACATACTTGTGAGTGGTGTGAGTGGTGGTACGAAAGTAATATAGAATTTATATCAGGCTTTAAGATTTTTTTTTAAAATAATATATATTTTAGTATTAGTCTCTAACATTTTCCATAATTTGATCTTAGTCACACTAATTGTTAAATTTACTAATACGTCCCTCAAATCAGAAGGGTTTTTTTTATTTGGATTCTCCGTTAGATTTTTAGTTCGATTTGTACACTATTATTGGTTTAGTTTTAAACTCAACACAGTGAATTACCAAAATACCTCCATGATTAGTCGTCATCTTATTTTAGAGAGACGTGGGTATGAGTTTTTAGCTCGCCGGTTTTGAATGCAGACTTATTAAAGAAATGGGTTACTTACACGACTGAAGGGTATAGTGGGAACTTTGGTGCAAAAAGTTAGATCTAAGGGGCTAGAGATAGCTGCCAATAGGGACCAAATTGCAAGGCCACGTATAATTTGGGGGCCTTATGAACAAGGTCACTGATGTGACGGACCAATGCAAATTTGAGGGACCAATATCTAAAAGAGCCTTTGTACGTCGTAAGAGGGCGGGTTCCCTACTTTTTAGAAGTGTGTGAAGATAGTGGATTCCTTTTCCATAATCTTCCCCCCCCAGTAAATACAAGAAGGGCCTTTTGACAAATCGGTGCTCGTAAAGAATACGAGAAGGTCCTTTAGACAAATTGGTGCTCGTAAAGAATATTCTTAAGTTTTCATATCAAGAAAGTTTGTAATTTTATTTTTAAACGCACCCACAAATTTATCCTACGAACTAAAGTTCTAAGGGGCTGTTTGTTTCTTCGTTTTGGGTGGGAAAGAGCCCGGAAGCTGCCACAAATGGGACTGTTGTGGCAGGGT